CAAGAGGCCTCTCGTTCGATTCCTGGTCAGGGCACATGCCCGGGTTCCAGGCTCGATCCCCAGTAAGGGGCGTGCAGGACACAGCCGATTGATGTTTCTATCTCTCCCTCTCCCTTCCTCTCTCTCTAAATTAGTAAAAACATATTAAAAAAAGTTCTGACAACGCTAAACCGTACAATGGTCCAAATGCACTCTGTGCCTCCGTTTAGTCAGCAGTCAGCCAGGCTTGCTCTCGTTCCCACTCTCTGGTTGGCACAGGCAGGAAGACCAGGGGAAGGTGTGTGTGGCCGGCCTGGGAGACGGAAGCAGGGCCAGCTTCTGGGGCGGGTGACCTGTGACGTCCCACAAGGCTCCCCGCTCCGAGGGGCCCAGCGTTTCGTTTAACGCTCTGCGGCTGCTATCTTGAAACTCTGAATGCTTTTTGAGCCACGGTCCCCACACTTTCCCTGTGTCCTGGCCACAGGGGATGCAGCAGGTCCTGCTGGGAGGTCGGGAACCGTCTTAACTGCTAGAAGATCCCCCCAGAGAGTGACCAAAAGGAAATGAGCCGAGCTGGAGGGCCCAGTGACAGGGCCACTCGTGCTAAAGAAACATCTCGAACCTGCTGTGCTGAGGTTACTGTTTTAACACTGCGCTTGGCATCGGGCAGATTTCTGTTTCATGTTACAACTTCGCGCCTCCGAGAGTCCTGTGTTTACAAGTCTAGGACGGATTCCTTGGGAGTGGGAAGCGGCAGGGAGTGGCCCCGGGAAATGTGATAGCTCCTCATTACCGGGCGTCACCAGCAGCCCTGGCCGCGGGGCTGGCTCTGGGAGCTCAGGTTCCGCTGTCAGAACTTTCTGGGGCCCCTTTCCCGGTGGACCCGGCGCTGGGTGGGCGCTTGCTCCCGTGATGATCACGATTGTCTGCGTTTTGACCGACAATCGTGGTCTCTCTGAGGCCCCTCCCAGCGGCTCTACCGCGAATAACAACCCAGCCCCGGCTCCATTAATTCCTCTGCACGTTTACACGCAGAAGGCCTCGGACGGAGCCGGTGCTCAGCAGCCGTGCAGTGAATAGGGAGCGAGAGAACGGCTGCCTTGATATCTCACATCTTCCCAGCTCCAGGGAAGCCTTGATGAGAATGAAACCTCGGCCACGTTCTGGCCCCTCTCCCCAGCTGGTCTCTCCTCTGCAAACTCATTCACAAGAGCTCAGTTCTTCTGGCCGGCCCCCCACCGGCACCTGTTTTGGGAGGCCAGCTTGGGGTCCCGGGGTTTTCCTGTTCGCGCCTTCCCATATCACTCAGTAACAGTATTTTCTAACACCCGGGTCGGAGTGGAGATAAGACTGTGTGTTCCTTGAGCAGGAAGATGTTAAGGGCTTGCAGGATATGACTAATGCTTACGGGATCTTTTATTTCTGAGGGGAATTCACCTGGGGCCCTTTCCCTGGTTTTTTGGGTTTTTTTAGCTTCATCCGAGGATATGTTTATTGACTTTAGAGAGAGAGGAAGGGGGAGAGAGAGAAAGAGAAATACAGCTGTGAGGGAGAAACATCTATCCGTTGCCCCCCCTAAGCACACTTACTAGGGATTGAACCCACCCAGCCAGGGCTTTTTGATCTACTTGATGGATATTAAGTTCGTTAAATGCAAAGTTCAGATCGTAGGTGGATTTTTTTTTTAAGTTGAGGGTTTTTTAAGATTTTGTAATGCAGTCAAGAGAAAGTAACATGGATTGAGGATTTCTTTTTTTTATGTTTTTATTGATTTTAGAGAGAGAGGAAGGGAGAGAGAGAAAANCCCCCACGCCCGGACGTGGGATCGCCAGCAGCCTAGGTATGTGCCCCGGCTGGGACTCGAACCTGCAACCTTTTGGTGTATGGGGACGACCCTTCGACCGACGGAGCCGCCCGGCCAGGGCTCCCTGTTCTTTAGTGGGGCCACTTGTGCTTGCAGAGAGGAACCCCTGTGAGTCTTCACCTCTCTGCTCCTGAGAGCACTGGGGACCTGGGTGCCCGCAGTCCCGGTTCCGTTCACGTCCAAGTCAATTTCAGTTACTAGTCTCCCTCGGTAGCTCTCCTTCTGTATAAAAATCAGCCACTTGTTAAACTACGTACTGACTTGAGCCTCAAGAGACTTTTAAATCGGAGGACTTGCTGCTTAATCAGTTTGAAGCAGCTCTAGCTGAAAGCTGAGCTCCGAGGCTGAGAGGTCCCCTGGCCACGGCCGCAGGAAGGGCGGGCGCGGGGAGAAAGTAGCAAAAGGGGGATGTGCGCGCCCGCAGCCGGCAAAACAGAAGCTGCGCCGCCTTCGCTTTCTGTGAGAATCTGAGACTGGATTTCCTGAGACGGGCAACGGATGGCACCCTCACGGCGACTGGGTTTTCGGGCCGAGAGCCCCGGTGCCACATTCCACCTACTTGCTGTGTTTAATCTTTGTTGTTCTAAGAGGAACGTGAAGACTGCTCCGTGGTTCTGCCCAGTGACGGGCATGTGCGTTGGTTGCTGGGGTTCCCTGCAGTGGGAATAATGACTTTGGGTTCCCAAAACCAGGTGGGATACCCTCAGGGGTGGAGACTGTTTCCTTTCGCGGCCAGGAATGGGAGGAAGACATTTCAATGTAAACATCAAATAGATTTTAAACTGTAAAAAGATTTTCCCCTCTTTGTAACAAAGTAACATCTAGGAGTTGCTGTGCTTGGAAACATCCAGCAAGTGTCTTATGATTTTGTTCTTGAAGCATGTACCTAAAAATGGTTCTGGTGTGTCGGGAAACAGGAGGGAAAGAGTTAAAATGAGAAGAGGGTCCCTGGGTCAGAGGTTTTGAAGAGTTGAAGTACTTCCCAAAGGGAAGCAATCCTCGCAGACTCCCTGGATACTGTGTGTGTGCATGTGCATTTGTGTGTGTGCAAGCACACGGGTATATGTGCATGTGTGTGCATGTGTGTTTGTGTGTGCATGCGCATACGTGTGTATGTGTGTGTGTGCGTGTGTGTGCGTGTGTGTGTGCGCGCGTGCACGCGTTTTTCCAGGGGCAGGGGCACAGCCGCGGTGGCTTCCTGGGTGAGGCGGGTGCAGAAAGTTGGCTTTCCCAGGGTGTGGGGAGGGAGGCGAGTGCCTGTGTTGTTTCCATGGATACAGCACTGCTCCAGTTTTCCCCTAGGTGGTGACAAATGTGCCTGCGCTTGGCCTGGTGACTGGACTCGGCTAGTGGAAATTGATTCCCGTAAACTTGCCTCAGTTTTTTCCCTGCGACCTTTATGCAAACCTATTCCTTCCCAGACAGCCCTCCTTACCGCCTTACTTTGGAGACTTGCTTAATCCTTTCTAATGGGATGTGCTGAGGCTAACGGAATAGCCCAAAAAGTCCTGTTTTTTTTAATCGTCCCCCAAAGCGCATGCCAGTATGTTGAGGGGTCTACCTACTCTCTTGTCTGCTTGGGAGGCACAGGGAGTCTTGCCCCACCTGCGTCCGGCACCTCGGTGAAAAGTCCCCCCCCCAAGACCCGTCCGCAGTCCCCCGTCTCGAACCAGCGCCGGTCAGTGAGAGCCACAGGGCGCGATGGAGGGAGCCGGGGCAGTGAGGAGACTGCGGAGCGAGGGGCTGCCCCTGTGTTTCGTAGGATCGGCCGTTTCATCTAGTTAATCAGGAGACAGACGCTCGGGGAAGCGGAGCCTGTGCCCTCGCAGCTCACGCGGTCTCACCAAGCACCCTGTAGACAGCAGCTGCGGTGCCAGAGGCCCCGGCCAAAACCAACACAGCGGCCGGTTCCTGTCCCTCGTGGGGGGCAGCCGGGCCGGAGGCCGGGGTTGACAACGAAGAAAGAACAAACCAAAACAAGCAACCGTCCACACCGAAGTTTTCCGAAGAAAGGGAATTGCACTAATTAGAAGTTAGACATTTCACCAGCGTCATCTTATGGAAAAGTGCCAGCCTCACCCAACGGCTCCTTACCATTGGCTGAGAAAATGTTTCAACTTACTGGGTCCTCTCTGGGTGGACCTGAGACACTGTATCCATTTAATAAAACCCCCAGCTGGGTTTAGCGTTATTATTGTTATTATTTATGCCGGGAGAATTTGAAGAGCAAAGAAAAATACCTCCCCCCAGCCCCGGATTTAGCATCAGTTTTTAGGAAGCACCCATTTCTTCCCAACAGTGGCAGAAAATGCTGAGACCCTGGGGTGCCAGTTTCCAAAGTTTCTTCTCTTTATAAAAACATATCTCCTAAGTGGTAGCTAATGATAAATGGTGCTGCAGAATCCCCGGTTACTGCCAAACAGGATTTAATAAAATTAAATTTAAAAAAGCCGGATTATTTAAGGAAAGTAATTCATTTCTTGCTTCGACTCCTTCCCAGAACAAACATAAAAAAACGCATTATTTTCCTTCCCGGTATTAAGGAAATATTTTCCAAATCCACTGCCCCGCCCGCCCCGCATTCCTCGGCCGGGGGCTTATCCAGTGTGTGACTCGCTGGAAGCCGATATCTGAGACCTAATCTGATACGTGCTTCTGCCCAGTTTTCTCTTGTTTAACGCTCAGCTTACGAACAACATTCATTTTCAGTTTGCCAGGCTTTCTGGAACATACCACCACGCCACAGAGAAAAAGTTTCCAGTTGTTTGTTTCATTTCTCCTCTCGTCCTCTGTGAGAGATTTTAACTTTTTCTGTACTAATTTAAACAGCCTCCAAGCTGGGGACCTGCCTTTTGGTCTCATGCCTGTCACATGTAAAGTTCAGGAAAAACTGTGTTTCTAAGCGAATAGAAGAGCAACGAAACTGCCTCAAAAGCTTCCTGCGTTTTACAGAAATCAAGCCCATTTACCCGGCTCTCGGGTTCAGAAGCCCGGGGCTGAGCGGGGTCACGGGGGTTAAGAGAGCGGCGGGGCGCGTCTGTCCGTGAGGATGACAGCTCTGGTTTTCCACGCGCGGGCCCGGCTCCCGGGC